CCCAAAAAGCAGTGAGTCGCACCACGTACTTTGGGTTGTCGATGTTGATTCTGGGCTTAGTCGCTGTTGGGCCGTGGCTGTTCTAGAGGGGTACTGACGCATAGAGTATGTAGATATACAGGACTTTCAGTGTAACAGTGTAACTAGACAGGAAACAGTATTTTTGTCTGAGGATAATATTAGCGCAGGCCTGACATAATCGTGCATCGACCTTGCTCTCATCGTGGACACTGTCTTGTCTTGCTGGCGTGTTGTCTGAACAGTCTTTATCAGCTTCAGCACAAGCACATCCTTCTTTCGTGCAGCCGGTGCTGAGAAGGTACGCCTTCCGCTTCTTGCACTTCGCTGCCCCTCTGTGTCCCCATTTCTTCCTCCATGTCTCCCGACAACGCTCTGGGTTTCTCGGAAGGGAAATGTTCGAGATTCTTTCCAGCTGCGACGATATTTTCGTGACCGCGTGTCAAACGTGTCCAGCCAGTGTCGCGCTTGCGAGCACAAATCACATCTTTCATCCCTCCTCAGCCACGAGCAGTTCATTGATTGCCTATTTCAGGCTCTACTTCACGACGACCGACGATTTCGCGCAGGTACGTGCATAAGCGTTGGATGCATCTCTTCGTTGACATCAGGCGCAGTGTATCTCGGTCCAACGAAGGCGTAATTCGCATACAACTCCAGCCCCAAAGTCTTGTGTATGGCAGAAGCGGCCGCTGTGTTCAAGGACATCCCCGAGCTCTTCGAGGTGAGCGGACTGCGCTACTCATACTCCACCCACCCCACTGAATACATCCGCAGGTCGACCTCGGCGAGTCGCTCACCGCACGCACCGAGTGCCTTTGTGAGCCGAGTCGTCTCGTAGAACACGACCCGGCGCTGACACGACCCAGCTACATTTAGGGAACTTGGCCCGCCCGATCTGTGCCACGTCGTAAAAAGCACGGGCAAGTCGGGCCAGCGCGACCAGGGCTCGTATCACTTTGTCTCCGGTGTCGACGCATCCTCTTCTGCGTCGCTCGCCGCGTATATCAACTCGCTCACATACGCGATCGAGGACTCTAACGCGTGGTTCTCAAAGACCCCTGTGTGGAAGGTGCGCAACGGGTGCTATTGCTGCTTCAACGCGTTCTCGCGCGTCGACTTTCGAGTCGATGTCAAGATTCCTGGCGGCGTGGTTGCGTATGTCGTGGATCTGCGGGGGGAGAGACACGAGCCCACCGCTGAGATGTGGCAGGAGACTTATGTCTCCGCCCTCCTCCGTGCTATTCTCTACTCAGACGACCACGCCCACGCCCTCGATGCCTATCGCAAATTGGACCCCATCACTTCCCTCGAGGGCGAGCTTCGCTTCTTAGCAGCGGCAGAGGCGCTATTCATCAAAGGTATTTTCGTATGCAAAAAAAAACTTGTTGCTCACTTCTGTGGTAGGCTGGCAAGTTGGCTCCGATCCAGAAATCCAAGTTGCCTCTGTGACGACGAATCACCTTACTGCCGGGCTCCTCAAATACTTTGGCAACTCGGGTCGTTACCAACCGCTTGCAAATCTCTTTGAAAAGATCTCCACACGCGAACCCGAGGTATCGTCTCTCCTCGCGCGCGCGTACCTCGGAATGCGTACGCAGTACTTTTAATGTTGCCGGAAAGAGCATTAATGTTGGCCCGCAGACGAGGAGGTGAAGGCGCTGCATATCATGTCTAGTGCGCTGCGTAATACGCCTGGATCGGCGTCCTACACGCTGTTGCACGCGCAGTGCGACTTTTTGCGCGGCAAAGGACGCTTCGACTGGGCGCTGAAGCTCGCGCGGCAGGCAGTCAACGCTGCCCCCAGCGAATTCGTGACGTGGGAGAAGCTCACGGATTGCTATATTGAGCTGGGCATGTTTGATTCGGTGCGTCGTAGTTTTTGGTGCAAAAATGAGTCGAAGTCTGAGTATGTTGCAGGCGCTCCTCACACTCAACTCGTGCCCGATGTTCACGTTTAATGGCCGTGACGCACATCGACCGCTGACACCGTCCCGGATTCACCTGCCCTTCCATCGCTCCATAGGGGAGATCTTGCCGGACCGCGTGAAGACTGACGATGATGAGGTATGTAGTAGTTTTTTCAATGCCTTCCTTTCGTCTCAGCGGCTAATCTGCCTTAGGCCGATCCTGCTCTCCAGCGTCTCCCCGCTCCAGGCCTCCGTGGCACGTGGGCCCGCGCATACGCACTTCTTACGCGACTCGTCTCGCAGATCGGTTGGGATGAGCTGCTCAAGACCCGGAGTACCGTGTTCGTCATGGAAGAAGAGTACCGCATGCAGAAAGCGCAGACCGAGATTGCCAGCCACTTGCGCGCAGATTCGACAGACGAGACGCTCGCGGAGGGCGACGCAGACAATGCGTCGACGCGGGGGATGGTCAGCCCCGGCAGCAGCTCGGTTTCTGCGACCAGCCCGAGCAACGCGAGCGCGACCGCGGTGAATGGGAATGGGAACGCCAACGCGACGCAGAACGGGATACCGACCATCCGCATCTCCACAGAGTCGGATCTGGAGAAGGGTGGTGATGCGATAACTAAGGCGGCAGATACATTGGAGCGGCCGGTGCAGGCTGCGGCCGGTGATGAGGAGTCGGACATCGCTGGGGCAGATAAGGATGTTAAGAAGGCGAAGGAACCTGCGTCGCCCCTGCCGCAAGAACCGTTCTCATTTAGCAACAAGCGGTTATGCGAACGATGGCTGGATAATCTATTTATGGTGTTATACGAGGTGGGGTTGTTTCTGCCCTTCTTTCCTGGTCTGATCGATCATGGCAGGATCTGAGGGTATGGACTATCTTCCGTGCGGAAGTGGCGCACTTCAAAACGCAGCACGTCGCGTACCGAAAGACCGGGTTGGAGTGGGAGATACTGGGCGATCTTGGGATGCGGTTGCATCACAAGGAGGAGGCAAAGGAGGCATACCAGCGCTGCCTCGACACACCGCGCTACTCCGTAAAACCGTGGAGTAAGCTTATGGAAATGTACGCGGACGAGGGCGACATACAGCGGTGTATACAGACGGCGATTCGTGTCGCCGCGTACCAATACGCGGAGTACACGGAGATGACGGTGTGTACTTGCAGGCTCTATACAGACATCATAACTGACGGATGGATGGATAGTTCCCGACACAAATTGCGCATTGTTTCTTCAAGTTGGGCGAGCTCCATGGGCTGGGCAAGATTGCGTGGACGTTGCGCAGCATGGGCCTTCCCGAACCGATTCTCAAAATTATGGACAGCTACTTGCAGTATGGACAAACTTTCAAAGTTGAGGGGTATGAGTACTAGTTTCAATCAAAATGGCGCCACGCGCAGTTCTATGTTATTTCTTCCTTCGCTCCAGTTCTGCGTCGGTCGAGGATCGCTTTATGGTAGTCCTCCCCACTGCGTATTCTACGTAATACCTCTCCAAGTCATACTATTTTTTATTACTTTTGGTATTGCTGCCGACTTGGGTCACAGGATGATTACAGGTGAATGGAATAAATACACTGCTCTATGACGAAGGCATCATCCAAAAGTCGCTTGGGGTGTATCCCGCCTTGAGTGCGGTGACCGTATTGCGCACATTCGTGCGCAGAGGTCCCGCATCTTCGCCACCTGTACCCTCGTCGAACCCGGAGCCGAGCTTGCGCGCGAGATCGCGGACTCCCTCGTCCTCGCGCACCCATTCGCCCTCGCGCGCGTCGGCGGCCCACCACGCCGCGGCGCGGGTGCGGAGAGCGGGAACGCGCATGACGGCGGCGCGCGAGAGGCGCAGGAGCTGCAGGCGCACCGCGGTCTGCTCCGCGGCGCGCACCGCCACGAGTGTTGGGTTCACGAGCGCGGAGGCGGCGGACGCAGAAGGCGGGAGCATGTGCACGAGCAGGGGCAAGAGGAGGAAAAGCAGACGCCGCAGGAGGAGGAAGTTGTCGTGCCACTGATATGCGAGTCAGCCCGACAAGGCGAATAGGACCGGACGCGCGTACCATGAAGACTTTTCTGTCGTCTTTTGGGATTTCTATGGGTGCAGTTGCGATGTAGTATGCTTCGAGGCAGAACGCTCCCGCCACTGCGGCAACAGCGAGTGTGCGATAGCGCTCGCGTCCGGAATAGTTGACGGTGATGATCTACTGAGCATTCAGTACACACACACGAAATGCGTGAGCAGATCCGCTTACTCCTATGACTGTGGCTGCCCAGATGTAAGAGAGCAAGGCTTGCGGCAGGGCAAACATTCCAAATTCGTTAAACGAGCGGCAGTAATCGCATGTCGAGACGACCTGGTGTCCATATCTACGCAGCGTCTGTGATACTCGGAGGGGAACGGGTGGCAAATTTATCCTACCGAACATAATATATTTTAACGTCGAATGACTGGAGATGTTTAAGAAGCGTCTCGAGTGGCTTTGGGAGGTCTCCGGTGTCCGACCGCTGGATCAAGATGCTCCGAATTGAATCGGATGGAGTATTCAGTGGTATCTTGAGACGCGTGTAGATATTATCCGGAGGCAGAACAATAATCTGGTACAAGCAGTAGAGGGAGTGCAGCAGGAGGAATATGTTGAGCAGAGAGCGAGCTGAAGTGAGGGGTCGTCCTGGAGCTCTATGAATGCCAAAGTAGAACCATGGTACAATCAATGCAGCGGCAGTCGCGACGAAGAGGACGAGGGAAACACCTGCAGCCATCGCGTCCAGTCAAAGCACACGTCAGTCGCGACATACAATTGATCACGTGCGATATCTTTGATGCATAAGTAAAGAACGCGACTCGGGGCCGGGGAGATGGCCACATAGAATATGGGATTCACCGCTACTTCGAAGAAATGGAAGACGCGGGGGGTGGTCCGCCGGCGAAAAAAAGAGAGTAGCCTGAGGCATCAGCATCCATTGTCAATAATACTCAAGTATCAAATATCGAGAACGCCATATTTCACGACAATATTCCCACCCGAATGCCCAAATATCATCATAGACATATGTAAGAAACTTCGGTACATGGGATTGTGGTGTAGCGGTTTATCACGTTTGTCTTACATAATTGCTATGTGCACAAAAGGTCCTCAGTTCGATCCTGGGCAGTCTCATATTTTTAAGAGGACTACTTGAGGGGGAGGAAAAAGAACCTTTTGTTTTTTGACAAGGCTTGAGATCTTTCCGTGACGAGTCGAGTGTGAACGAGGCGTGTTCGCTGTGACTAAGATGTGAACACGCGCTGGCTGCCTTCGGCAGCTGTGAGTCAGGGCGTAGTCTCTGTTACAGAACCGATATATACAGCTGACGATCAAGGTCAGGGCGCTGCCTTCGGCAGCGATGTGTGCGGGGGCTCGAGGCGAACTCGTTCCTCGATCACAGGACCCCCGAAAGTACCCTTAGTCTGTGGTCCGGACGAATTTTGAGCCAATTTGCGCCGCCAGTAAGTAAGTATGCATAGAAAGTGTAAAATTGCACTTCCGCCGCCCAAGCACCTGTTCCCGTTGATTGATCTGATTGTCTGTGTTTGCTGAATACCGGGGACGAGCCTTCTTATCATTTATTCAAACTCCGCCGGATCAATCCGTGCAATAGATAAGATTACAGTCACACTATTGGGTTACCGAGACAGGAGATCTCGACGATCCTTAATCCTGATGGCTGCCCACACCTCCTTCTCCGATTCCCGTCCCACTTCTGCCACCGCCGTCGACGGGTCGAGCGTTTATTCTGATTTTGCCAAGAAATGTGCCTTGATCGCCTTGGCCGTGCTGGTCCCACCACCACCCTCTCTGACGGCGTCTGCCCTATCTCACGCGCTGTTCATGCGCATCGTCATGGCTGTCGCAGTAACGAGTTGCAGGCTGTGTTGGCTTGAGGGGGGGAATCGGGGCGTTCTCCTTATAGCCTTTTATCTGCTCACGGTGTTGGTGCACATTCGTTAGTGGTTACTCCAGGTTTCGGCATATTTCTAACATTGCAACAGTATCTGCTCTTGATACAATTCGGTGGTGGACCGACAGCCCATTCATACCTGTAATTGTTGGACCCGCATTGGGTCTTTTGACGGGTTCCTCAGGCTGCGTAGCCGCGATCCTAGTTCAAAATAAGGTGACGGAACTGGGGTGGGTGGGGAGATTCATCCAAAGAGTAAGTCTCGCCATATTTCCAAGGTATGTCCATTTCCTTGGATCTGCTCGGCTAGCCGGTACTGTCCCGGTGGATTCCGATCGTCGCTTTTGACGTCTCGGTTCCTTGCGCTGTTACTTTTTTGTTTTCTGTTTCCTTTTTTTTTTGTATGTGTGATCTACGAAAATCTAATTGTTTTCTCCGGAAAGGACGCCGACGGTTTTCCGCGTGGTATGCCTCGGACGGCCTCACTTTGCCTTATTGCTCAGATCCGGATCCCTGCCCGTATTCCTAGAAGTCGATGAATCATTTTGTCGCATCGGGCCGTTTTCAGATTGATCTTTTAGTACAGTTGCAAATCGCGAGACGATAGGGGTGATGCGTATACTTACATCATTTTCGAGAGCTGTCATCAGGAAAAAAATCGGAAAAATCAGAAAAAATCAGATTTTAAATGCCAGCCCGAGTGGCACTGTCAAAAAAAAATTATTGCCTCCCGGTTGTGATTAGGGCGGCAGTGAAAACTGCTTTTGTTCCGGCCCGAGAGTCACGTGGCATTGAAAATTTCTCCGTCGAATCGCTTACATGGCCGAATCTCGGCAAAATACTGGTGTTGTGGGCACCCGAAAGGAGAAAAATAAAATATTCCCAAAAAGGAAGGAGGGAAAGGGAAGGAAGAGAAGAGAGCGAAGGGTCTCATATGTAGCTCAAGTACACCTGCAGAGCATGTTTTATGCATAAAAATACATCATCTGAGCATTCAAAACAATTTTTTTTCCGCCTGCGGCGCCAAGTTTGCGAATTAAGCGCGACGGTCACGTGCATCTGTCAAATACTGGCACGAAATTCCGCTTTCGGATTTTCTGAGCTGCTGACAAACGCTGATCGCAAATACTGGATCGCCCAAAATGGTTTATTCAGACGGTCCGTCCACTTCCGCCATCACCCGATGTCACGTGACGATGGAACAAATCCCATCTCTCGCGCATAAGTCGCGAGAAGCAGGAGCACAGGCCCAAGGTGCGCCCCAGCTTGCTCTCTGAGGATATTCAGCTCCTGCCAGCACCTTCCACACACACCTTCATATAAAGGTGCTAGCTCCACGCACCCTCGGGCCTCCGGCGCCGTGTACGCCTCTCGTCCTTGCAATTGCCCTTCTACACAACTGATGAGATATTCGAGCAATATGTAGCATTCTTGATTTTTGGCAAAATACTGGTGTGATGAGATATTCGAGCAATATGTAGCATTCTTGATTTTTAGCGACATGGGCCAGATGTGACCCCGAAAATCGCGGAGGATCAAAACACTTCCGAAAACGGATAGATTATTTGTCAGCGTCACTATTACTGCACTATTTGCCCACAACACGAGTATTTACCCCGAATCTCCCGTGAATATCCGGAGCCGGCGGCTATGACGGACGCCGAAACCAGCCGAAACCACTTTCTGGCTCGGCAAACTGCCGGCACTGCTGGACGGGCTTGACAAGACAACGCTTCCGTTGGAGGGCATGATGGATTCGGCCTCCAAGCTCTTCACGTCCTTCAAGCTCGATGCCGAGATACTGGAAAAGACTGGCTGTCCGGTGGCAACCCTCGGGGAGCAGTTAGAAGGAGTTTTCTTCAAAGAGCACCCCAGTAATGCTGTCATGAGAAAATGGATAATTGATGTCGTGAAAGCCGCAGCAGAGGTGCAATACCTTGCGGATGAGGTACCGGTACTATCACTCCCGCTACCAAAATCATGAAGGTAGCCTTAGGCTCGCTCCTTGAACCGATTTCTGATTCCCTAATACGAAAGCTTTCAGTTTCCTGCTGGGAGAGTACCAAATGGCACGAAAGCGGATAAAGTCGGAGGCACTGGCAGAACCTGTCCAACCGGCCGCCAAGGTACATTTCCTCCATCGATATCAACGTCCCCTTCCTGACAAATGTCTAAAAAAAGCCGGGGAGAGCTACATGGCACTATCATTGCTATGTACTCTGGCAGGGAGCTACTGCCATGAGAGTTTTTCCTGATGTTGCGAGTAGTAATACATTGTACAACTCTCACTCGAACTTCAACCAAACTTCAACCAACGCCGCAGCCAAACATAACCAAAGCTAACTTTTGACGTAAACCACTATGACCGACGAATCTACTGCTCCAAGACGGTCAACTCGGCAGCCAAAACCTCCTCGGCGTGAACTTTTTCCAGTCGCAGAACATGTTCCCGCAAAGCGCAAAGCCAAAGAGGTTGACCCTGCCGAACAACTCCGCCACTTCCTACAAAATCCAAAGAGCCGGCTCACGAAGATGGACTTGACTGTGCGTCCTCGGTTAAGTTGACGGCTGGGAGGAGAAAAGCTCAATTGTGCGGTAGGACCTTATCAATGCGAACACGTGGAGCATGCTTTCGCCGGAATCTCAGACACGCCTGGCTGCTTTGTTGCCCGCCACTGCTTTTCCGTCGTTATGGCCTGCAATTGAAGTAGCGCACCCTGCAGCGGGAGACTCGATGAGTGTCGATCCTGGCAGACAGGAGCCGGAACTCGTGGATGCGTCCCTGTTCACCGACGCACATTTTCTTGCCGGCGCACGCACCTTCCAAGACCATCTGTACTCCAACTGGCTTTCCGACGCACAAGCCGAAAAGGACAAACGGTACGAGCAGGGAATCAGAGATGGGACCCTGGCGGCTCCGTGGAAAGACGAGGTTTGGGAGCGAGATAACAAACCCGAAGTTGAGGAACCGAATATGCATGCAACGCTTGCTGGGTATGATCTTTGTAAGGACAACTCATTTTCTCAATGGGCTCTGTAGTGAAGCTGCAGAGCTCAAACTGGTCGATCTGGCAAAGAGTGCCGTTATCCGCGAAGGTGATGTACTCGCCTACAAGCGCAATTTCCCAGCTCTCGGCATCGTTGTCGAGAAGGACCTTATTGTGAGCATCCCCCCTTTTTTTTCTAAGCACAGCGTTTACACCTGTGAAGATTCAACAAATCAGCCCCCGCACACATAATGTGACAGTGTTGCTCGAGCCGGGTTTAACCCGGGATCTCCCTCTAGAGCTTCTGCAACCGGGCCCCTCCGAGCCCTCCGCCCCGACTCGCAGTATGACGATAACGAGCCCGTCGCAGCTCGAAAACGGGCTGCTCGACGTGGACGGCCGCGTGGAGAGAGCGAAGCGATCGAACGGGAATGCATGGAAGGCGATCACTCTGTGGCGCTGGACGGGAGACTCCTTGTCCGATGTCTGTGAGCGACGCGGTGGGAGAGAGGACCATGGCACATTGTTCTACCTGCGTGCATGTCACTACCAAGATAGGTGAAGGGATTGTGTTAGAGCTTTCATTAAATTCCATTTGACGAATGTTCGTTCATGAACGTTCATTCCAGACAAGACGCGTTTATATCGGAGATACATGCAAGAGGTTTTGTTGCGGCTTGCCAAGTTCTCAACTTGAGAGGCAACCGTGAACCTTGTTAAAAAACAAACCGAGTCGACAGTGTGTGTGTTGTACAATTGTGTACGCTCCGGCTTTCATTAAATTCCATTTGACGAATGTTCGTTCATGAACGTTCATTCCAAATTTACAAAAGACGCGTTTATATCGGAGATACATACAAGAGGTTTTGTTGCGGCTTGCCAAGTTCTAAACTTGAAATTTTAAAAGGCAACCGTGAACCTTGTTAAAAAACAAGAGGAGTCCCTTTATTACTGTAAATGGTCGACGCATATAGTCGTTCGTTTGTTTGACCGACCCTGGCGCGACTATTTATTTCCGAGTCCAGGGACGGCTATTTTGAAAATTGCCATGTGGCCACTTGAGTCACACACAAAATCGGACCGACTGATCCACACTCATCCTCGCCCAACGCCTTCCTGGGCCTCTGCCCACAGTATGTCGCATTCACCGCCTATCCGACGGCTCTCTGTCAGCTCGGCGGCCAAGCAGGAGGAGCTTATCAATGCGTACGAGGCAGAGGAGGAACGTATCA